CCGCGGCTAGCAGTACTACGTCTTCGCGTAAGTAATGCTCGCTTTTCCGGGAATCGTCTACCCGCGGGATCCTCTCGTTCCATGCGAACTAGAATCCGAGGAGGAAAATTAATTCTCAGTGCGCGGAAGTTGGCGGCGAAGCACCGTTTCTCTAGGCTTCTCTTCGTTAACGAACTGGGCTGCTTTATTATAGAATTGCGTGGTAAAGAGAAAGACAAAGAGAAAGGGAGGGAGGGAGGGAGAGAGAGAGAGAGAGAGAGAGAGAGAGAAATTGATAAAAACAACAGCATACTAACAACTCTGCGTCCTCCGTATAGACGTGCTTTCGTAGGATTTGTATTTGCCTTGCTTTCGCGTGCGGGCAAATAAGTCAGCATAGGATAATCGCGTTTTTTGCTTGGAAACTATACTCATTCTGCGGCGTACACTCGAGGGTGTAATTTAAATTTCTGACAATATGAAGTACGAACTTTGCGAAGCTCGTCGGAAACGTTGAGATTAGTACTTTCTTAATCCAGAAAATGTTTCGAAACTAACTTTTATGGCCCCAACGGAGTTGAGCTATTGAAATAAATAAACGGTACAACCATATGTTAATAAATTTTCTCTTTATGTTATTTTTTGTACTTGCAAAACACTTTTAAATTATCGTAAAAGGAGGTAAAATTAATACACGTTGTGGATACATTTTAATAATTTATAATTGTGAAAATATATTAACTATATCTTTTAAAACATAAAAATGGGAAAAAATATTTTCTTTGGAAGCGAGTTTTATGTCCTGAAGGATATTTTCTTTAAATAAATTTTATCGTGCAATAACATAAAACTCGAAGTCTTATTTCTTAGACTTACGATAAGTTGGTTCTAAGAGAGGTACGGATTTACGACGCGACGTTGTAAGGGCTTGAAACTTCGACAGAAATCACGCTAGAAGCTTCTCGTACTCGTTACGCAACGACCAACGGTGTTGGCTGGCTGACTAGTCCGCAACTTTTCTACTCGACAACTTCGTTCTACTTGTCGGACTTTTTTTACGCGTGTTGCGTGGATGTGCCTCTGCATAAGTACGTTGCCCATCATCGCGCTCTTACTTAACGTCGCATCCAGTAATAATATTCTTGTCCGCTTTCTATGGTATAGAAATTGCGCGAGAGAAGAAAAATGTGGTAGTACTTTCCGAATTCTTGGCAAGCGAACGGCACATTAAAAATAAAGCAAAGCGAAGTGCTGAAAGTGACAGTTGAATCGACAGAATTCTCGATGTCTTCGCGCGCAATGACCTCAAAACTTTTAGCATTGCCGAACCCGAGAATAGCTGCGATAACAAATTGCACCCCGTCGAGATATATTTCGGTGCGCGCGCTTTCGTGATTCGCATTCGTGAATACCGACTACTCGTAATTGGATAATAAATCATTCGACATTCGATCATCGTGTTTCGTATGTGTAGTGCAACGTGCCGTTAATTATGGCCGTGGCCGAAAGTGGATTTCTCATTCTTACGTCTCGCGACACGTCGATAATCGTTTCCCGAATCGATCAATCACGTTTAGCCTCGGGAAGTCTCGTCTCGAAGAACTTGATAGCTGGCAGTGCTCTTTTACGAAACGTTAATCAATGTCTGAATCGCCGCGGTGTTTGACGTCACTTCGTCATCATAAGACCGTCTCCTTTTTACGCTTTTTGCATATCCTCTTGTATCGGACATGTGTCAACGTAACATATCGCTAATATATTTAATTTATGAATCATTCAAGCGTACATATTGAATTACTCGCGAGTCGCATAATTGCTCTTCATATTTAAAAATATTCTAATCGATTAATAAATAATTTCACAACTTTGCTATTTGAAAAATATCCATTAAAATATCCATAATAGGAATTTGTTGTGTCATTTTTTTAAATTAAAAATTTGGATTTTCAAGCAAGAGTTGCATTTTGAGAACTCTTTTTCTTGTTCTGCCTTGAAACTTTATTATTTTTTTATCTATTCGAATTATTCTTATTCTGACTTCTACTTTTTGCTGATATGCGAATTCGAAAGAACTGACGTCTATTTTTCTTTCTTAGTGCTCTTCTGGTTCTTTCGCATTTTTCGACATCTTTTCTTTATACTTTGTTCTTTTCGACGACCGCCGAACTTTACCTCTTTGTACCCTAAAGAATCTTGTTCTTTTTTTCTCTCTCATTCCTTTTACATTTTGAATTGCGTTGACTCCGCTGCATTGTCATGAATCATACTACATCAACTTTAAATTAAAATCTAGCGAAACGTCTGTGACGAATGATGCGGAGCTGTTTAATTATGCGCTAAAAAGCGCTTGTGGGAACATGGTAGAGCAGCCGGAGAAGAAGAGTCACTTTTCATCATGTTGCTTCTCGTTGGCCTGCTTCTTGTTATCCGATGTCGACGATGTCGGACAACTCGCTGCCTTTGCGTCTCTCTCTCTCTCTCTCTCTCTCTCTCTCTCTCTCTCTCTTTTCGCCTTCCCTATTTTTAACGCCCGCGGCGCGTGTCGAGAGATTGTCGGTGAATAATCGCAAACTTCACATCCATTTGCTTTCCGAGTATAGCTATCGACCGAACATTAGTCAACCTTTCGGACTTCCGTTTGCTGAAAAGGTATTCTTTTTGTCAATACTTTGAAAAAAGTTTTTACTATACTTTCTTCTCATAAATTTCAAGACGATGCTGATCGATTTAGCAAAAGATATATTTCTTTAGTTGTCTTCTTACAAAAACATAACTGTGCAATAATTGAAAAAGATTGTTTTTTTTTAATTACTAAATATATTTATATTAAATTTTGTAATAAAATTTTTATTAAAATTTAGAATTTTATAATATTTGTTTGTTATAAAATATAAATAATTTGGAGATGTATTATTTAAAAAAAAATATGATCGGATTTTGTTTCGTTGAAGTTTGAATTTTTTAATTCTATCAATATAATTAACATTTTTTTAATCATACAAAGCTTAAATAAATCTTAATTAAGTGTTATATAAAGTAAATCAAAGAAGATCAAAGAAGTTTTAGTTTTATATGATGTTGAATATTGAACAAACAGATTACATAAATCGTAATCGAACGAAGTCGTATTTCCTTATCGGAACAACAATCTTGATCAGCCTTACATCAATAAACTTCGGTTTTTACGATTTCACGTCTGCGATCCTAAGAGCGATAAAAAGGGGAGAGATGAGGTGATACAAGGAAAAGTAGCAAAGAGAAACAGCGTAGAGATAGGGCGAGGTTTAAATGCGAGCGCAAAGAGAGAGACTCTAAGCTGTCTCCGGCGTCTTGCCATAAATCGAAGAAGTCCGACTTTTCAGGTCGCGTACCGCCAAGCTCTCTTTCTCGAGCTTATTTAAATCATCCCTAAAGCCTCTTTAATATTGAAAAATGGTCGCAGGCAATAGTTCGCTCTTCACGTTCTCGTTTCTTCCTGTGAAAACTGTTTCGACTCGTTGAATAAACGAACTGAGTTCATGTAATCATGTGACTGTTAAGTTAACAATAATTGTACTAATTCCTACATATTTTATACATTTATACATTAAACTTTTGATGAATTTGACTGTTCGTTAAAACTGACTATAAACGTTCTAACGAAGCTTTTTATTCCGCACATATTAGAGTGTTGTGCAATATTGAATGCTATAATGTTTGCTTCATCATATAATTCGTTACCCGGAAAACGCGATTTCCGAATATTGGATATACCACGAACGAGATTTGCACGGCGTTACTCGATATTCATTTGCAGCAATCCGGAATGATTCGCATTTCACGAATATACGATTAATTCAGACTCAACGTGTAGTTACGAATGTTGTGCTCGATAGATGATCTAAATTAATCATTGCCATTTTTTTTTGCACATCATTACCAAAATCTTGCGAGTTAAATTTTATCGCGCATCGATATCACACTATATCGTTACGCTTTTTATTAATGATAGAACGTTCGTTTAAAAAGTTGAATTGCCGGACGGAATTTTAGATCATCAAACGTCGCGAATGTGAAGGCCTGCGGATACGCCCGCGAATGTTGGATATCCGATATACGGATGTCCGCAAATTCAGAGGAAGATAAGAGAACGCGTTCTAACCGTGTTCTAACCATCTTCCGTTAGCCTAACTCATGTATCGTGCCCATTTCCATGTTCGATGCGCCGCGTTTTAGGAGGATAGCTGAGGGATTTAGGTAGAACGTTAATAACATTCGCCTAACTTTGACCCTCCCGGCTGTCGAGCTAAAGCGTAATGAAGCTCTGACGACCTTTCGCGTTCGCTATATGTCGCTCGACATGCGTTGACGTGCTTTAGGATTCTCATTCCGTTTCGTGACGGTGCATAATCGACCTGACCGTAGGATTACCAGACGAATCGTTGTTGAATCGATCTTTCCAAACAACGTCGAAATTAAGGTATTCACGCATTAACCTGCCAAAAGATTAATTCCCGTGTATGTATAAAAAATACGTAATTTTGTCCATGAATGAAATTAAAGTAAATTAGCGAATAGTACCTAGTTAAACTTGTATCATTATTGCGAATTACATTATGGAAATGTGATGAGTGTGACCAGTAATGAAATTGGATGGAAATTGTAAGAGATTATTATATAATGCAATTAACATCTCATGTGTTTGCTTTTATGTATTTATTCTATGGTATTTTTATGAATATTTTGTAATTGAATAAAATCTTTGTTCTTTTTTTTAATAATATTATGCGGTTTTAAAGTTGACACAATAGATTAAATTAAAGTGTTCTTTTTATTATTTAAACACTATTTCGATAATTGATTATCGTGGGATTCTTGTCGCTTGGTAAAACTGCATAGCGAAACAATGTGCATGCAGACATTGCTCCGCCATGTCATAAATCCGGTTGTGGAAAGTCGACGGCGATTTCGCGCGGGTCGCTTCGCTGTAAATTATGAGGCGATCATAATACGTTTTATGACTTTTCGCTGTTTCGTTTTAGCCGCTACAGCCTGCGACTTTGTATTCCTCGGGCATCCCGGGACGACACCTTTACATCTTCGTCATGCCTCGGTTACGCTTCGTCTGCCTCTGTTAGACAAACCGACAGTTAGGTACGTCTTTTTGCTGCGCGTTTCGCAACGTTGGCGCGTAATGGCGTAGCGCGAAACTCCCGTCTGCGTTTGCTGTTTATTCATTATACACGAGCTCTCTGCTCGTTAGAACAATATGTAAGTTGAGCTTTTATTCGAGATGGAATGACTCGGGGGAAATTTCTCGCTATGCTACGCTTTTGGTTTTTATTACCGTTTATTATATGGCCGGTTATTCTACAAAAAACAGCGCATATTTTACCAAAAGTAATTAAGAAACTGTAAATATAAATCAAATTATTGATTAATTATTTAGAGACACATATTGCATTTTTATACACTGATATCGTTGTCCAGATTTTTTATTTAGAATAAACTTGCTCTATGAATGAGATTTAATTATTTGATAAAATTTTGATAAAATACTAAGGTTTCTATTCTGTAACTCTTAATCACTACAGAGTCGATGTCGTTATATTGTTGTTACGCACATTTTATACATGGTATATATATATATATAAAAAAAAAATATTATCATTAGGAATTACAGAATAGAGATTTCAATCATCTCCAATTTAGAAGAATTGTATGTAATTTTTAAGAATATTACAATTTATTAGAATTTTTAAAATATTTTTGACGTATTACGTGGATGAATCAGTAAGTAACCTTAATTTTTATCATTTCGATTATTAATAGCAAAATTAAGGTTACTTATTAATTGACCTATCTAAACCTATATAAAAGAATTATCATTAAAAGAGACAATAATCTTACACTGGATTGTATTTTCATCGTAATATTATAATAGTATAATAGTACACTTGATATTATCAACGAGCATTGATACAAACATACATTGATACATACTTCTTTCTTTTTTTCGTTTTTTTTTTCTAATCTCACGTTCTCTTTGCTCTCGTAGACATTAGAACTCTCCGTTCCATTTCCGGCAACGCAAATCCAACCTTGTCCGACACGCAGGAACCGTCGGCTCCTTCGTTCATACGAAGTTTGACACGGAAATTTATTCGCGCTTAACCGATTTGGCAGTGGTTCAAGACGGATGCTCCACCCACCCGAGAAGTCTGCCGCTGTTTTACGATCGAAGTTCAGAACGACATTTGCACGTCGGCTCTTTCGTCTCGGTTCCACAGCCGACACCGCCATCGCCGCCCTCATCCTTTGTACTATTTCTTCGCTGCACCTTCTATGAGGCCGGTTTCTCGGTTTCTCTCGTCGCCGTCATCGTCAGCGTACTCCTCCCTTGTCCGACATGCTCGAATGATTCGCCGTTATTTTCTTTCTAGAGACTTTCCGTCTCGGTAAGCTCGGGTCCTGCCATCCATCGAGAGTGGACCGATGACTGGAACGGTTATATCGGATGATAAAAATTCGTGAATGAATCTGAGCAAACGCGCTTCGCTGGCGAGCTTCGGGGGATTGAAACGCCGCAGGCTAGCGAATGAAAGAAACAGACATTCATAAAATGTGATATGCGGAGTGCAAAGAATGTTTAGCACGTTGACCGACGAGAAAAAATGCCACAGAACCTTCGAGAGTTATGTTCGACGAGAGCGTTTGTTTGAAGTATTTTATATCCGCTTCGATATCGCATTTCCGTGTTACTTTGTGTAATTCGAGCTACACTGTCGAATGAAATTTGAGATATTTTTACGCCCGTATAAGAATTTATTTACATGAAAGATACGTATTAAAATATTCGGACGGAGAGATGAATTTATATAGCGTTAATATTTTATTTTAATTTTTGAATATACTTTATATTTGCTTAAACATAAAACTTGATTTTGATTAATTCATTATGAAGCAATAACACGGAAAAACAGCATACATTTGATGAAAGCGAGTTCTAACGGCGAGTGATTACAGAAAATTTCATAGCGGATGGTGGAGTGCACTCGGCTTTTACGTACGTTGGGATTCCACAGTGCGAATGATTTTCATATATAAATGCTATTCACTTTCCACAATATTGCATTTTCGAAATTATTAACAATACGCGCCCTGCTTGCAATTTTGTATCCGGAAATTGTGTATTTGCTTTTACGCTTCGAAAACACATAAACTGTGGTATGAAAAAAAAAAAGATCTCTAAATAATTCTTTTTCATTTCTACGAATCTGAATAATCTGCGCTTTAACGTGTGGGAGTGATTTATACGAAATTTAGCTCGAGTGCAAACAGCAGTAGGAGAAATTATCGATCTTTCCCATCCTCTAAATTGCTATCTTTCTGTTTCTGTTACAGAGTGACAGCGGGCTAGTGGACACAGATCCAGGTCGAGTTAGCAGCATGACAGCCATTAACTCGGTGAGCCAACGTTAAATTAATACGCGACGATAAAAGCAATGCGCACAGTATCGCTTCGTTTAATAACTCGATATTACATCAACTGGTTGCGTCCGTTTTAAATTATGTAAACCGAATAATTTACCGATAATGTACGTTAATGGCCATGACCGTATTTGACCAAGTTGTGACCAACGAAACAGGAAATTTTTTTTAACGTAAAGAGAACTTTCTACTTCAAATATCGTTTTTTTTTGCTCTGTTATGTGTTACTGTGTACATTTGAATTTCTCATCGCGTCACTTATGATTGTAAGAGAAATAGCATGAATTTGAACGAAAAGTTGCTTGGAGAAAAGATATTCTCGATGCTGAAGTATCGATTCTGAAATGATTTCACACTCTCACGTGACGAACCATAGGGAAACGAGAAAGAGTGATGGGAACGGGAGCCTCGTTATATATATAGCCTCGTTGCCGTTGTTCATCAAATATATAGGCAACTGTTTCTGATATAGAAGAGCCTGCTTGCGGAGTTTTCATCCGCTAATAATCCCGTAATGCTACTCACGCGACCGTAGTTTCCTGGGGGAAAGAAGATAGTGGCTTGTACGGTCTGCGCGAATATTTGCGAGGCGGGACATTTCGGCTCGACAAACAACTGGGAAGCCAGAGGATGCAAGCCTAGTATTTTATCAGTTAATCCTAATACAGTTATCATCGACTAACATTTGGTATTGTTATGATTAAGGGACGAAGGTTGTTCAGCCTTCGGCCAAACGGCGCTTGTTAATCCTTTTTACATTATCGTTGTGTTTGTTGAATAGAACTTTACTGTACAGCTTTATATATTTTATTATATGTACTGTACATATGTGCAACACATGTATGTATAATATTGGACTTGAAACAAATTAATACTTACAAATTAATACTGAAACATATTAATCCTTAATATGATCTTTAAAGGAGTTTTTTTTATATATGAGGCGATATATCTATATGAATATGGAAATCTTAGAATAATCCCTTAAAATTAGATTAAATAGTTCTAAAATGTAGTTGATGAAATGTAATATTTTTAATATTCTCTGTAAAATTACTCCACGAAACGGAGCTTCTAAAAAATATAAGATTAAATATTAAAATTAGAATAACTGAAATGAAAATAATGCAAATTTATTTATTTGGTTTAATAGACAATCTTTGGATGTAGATTACCAGAATAAATCATTTCTAGATAGAGTTAAATGCGCGGTTTGACAAGATGAAACGACAACTCGTCTCTTTTTTCCTTACAATACCATCCGATGATTTATATTCATATCGCATTGTGAGCGCAATGAATCAAAACTTCTTCCCTCTAATCGAGCGTCGTTCATTCTTCTTTTTTGAAGTTAGGCATGGAGCTTTGCGACACCTGACGTTCGGATATGTTACATTATGAATCGTAGAAAACCGTTTGCATGATAACCGACATGACTCAGGTCGGTGAAAGGTGAGACACGCGAAGCGACAACGGTGGGGCTTTCCTACATAGCAAAAGAGCCAGCGCGCCTTCCCCCGAGAATTGTATACGAATACGCCAACATACGGTATATTCATAGTTTCCGACTACCCTCACTCGAATTCGTGCACTCTTGTTCGGCGAAGTGAGAACCGGATCGGCGGAATTTAACCGGATGCTTCTTCCGCTTCCCTTTTCCCTCGTTCTCGTCGCCATTGCTGTCGCGATCGATTTGGGAATACGGCCGCATGCATCGTGGCAGAATCCCGAGAATTCGTGCCGCGTCTTCTCGAGAGAGAACAACCCCGGTTAGTTACGAACTTGTCTCTACGACCTGCTGCACTGTCGCGACAATGGTATATCGATTGTAGCACCGTCGAGTCTTGCGGGAATACGCGCGTTGATTACTCACGAAGATTACGTTGCGAATTTGCGTTCTTCTATAAATGTTCGTCCTATGGGTGTGAGAGATATTCATGCTTAACATAAACTAGTTGACGACAAATGTCAAATTACTTAATATTGATAATAATATTCTGATATGAGAAAAAGTGGAAAAATATATGAGAGTAGATTTCGAAATTCTACAGGATTTGTATGTGTTATTACGGCATTTGATAATTTTTTTCAAACTGATAAATTATTGATATCCATCATAGTATTTGATACAATAAAAATAAAATAATGCGATATTCAAGTAGTCGTAAAGTTTGGCAATTGTCCCATTATACGCGTTTCGTAACGAGAGAAAATTCTGGACGAGTGAGTAGAGTTTAACGAAAGAAAAGTATCTCTCATTTTTCCGGAATCAATTTATACTATCCACCTCATAATATAAAAGCAGGCTGTCTTATGATAGTGTGCAAACAGCTAGAAATAAAGCAACGCTTGCAATGCTCGTTCGATTAGGAGATGCGAAATCTGATACGCGCGCTCGTATTACGATGTTGTCTGAGTATATCCGTAGTATTATGCGAGCGTAATTGAGAGGAATATACGCGTTTGAATATTTTAAGTAATATGCATGCTAATCAGAACAAAAATTGACACGAGACAAGATGAAGATTAGCGATTAGAATTTTCTGATAATGTTTTTCGCAATTGTTTATGGCTTGCAATCAAAAAATCTTGATGAAAATAACATTAATCTTTAGGGGATGGAGTTCAAAAATCTTATCTTTTTTTAAATAAGATTTATTATAATTCAATATTTTTTATTCTTCCCCCCCCCCCTCCCCCATTAAAAAAAAATAAAATTGTTTAAGCCCTACTATAATTTCTTGTTATGTAGAAATTAATAATTGTAAAGCTGCAGTAATATATGAGAAGACTATAAGATGTGAAGAAAATATAAAAAATAATTGCGATTGATAATTAAAATGTAATTAAATGAAATACATTCGTCACATTAATATTTAAATGGATTTATTTAAATGTAAAATAAATGTGGTGTATATTTATTGCTATAAATAATAGCTTTGCATCGTTACTTTTACTCTGAAGAGATCTCGAAGTCAGTCTACGATGTACGGTACAAAAGTGCCGCGATCGATAGAAACGTAACGGTGCATTTTTATTCCGTGTTGCTCCTTTTTGCGCGCTACCACTTCGCCTTCTCTATGCTGTATTATTCAAACTTTACATACGTTTGAGAAACAAGAATATTCGACGAGATCGCGTTGATGCTTAAAAAACGCTCGTCTCAGGAGCTCGTTATTCTCTTCGGTATCAAAGTCGACGAGCATTTGCAATTGAAATTTTCGCGGTTCTATAAGTCTACCGTGAACAAATTCGAATTTCACTGTGGTCTACGCAAAGAGATGATTCCCCAATTACTTCCATCGTTTTTCTCTAACATCATGTATTATTATAAAAAGACATTTGTGATATCATTCTAAAAATTCCAGTAAAATTAATAAATTTCAGTAAAGTTATCAATAAAATTATTATACTAAAGATGAAATAATAGTATATATGTTAAGTATCTCGTAAAGAAAATATTACAAGTTTATTTTATTAAATATATCTTAGAAAAAAGATCTTTAGAAAATTATTAAAAATATTAAGAATATTACAAAAAGAGAAATTCGTAAGAGAACCCTTTTTATTTTCTCTATGCAACATCGTCTCGAATCATAAACTAATGATTTTTTTACGAGACACAAATATGTATACAAGCCGACCTTTCCCGAGCTGCACGCAGTCTCGCGGAAAATGACGCGCTCGAATCCAGTGACCCGGCGACCGGAGCACAGACGAAAGTCGGGTCTAAAGGACGCCAAGGAGGAAACCAGTTTAAATAAAGACCACGCATGTGGGTCAGCCGGCGTGGCGTTGCGACGTGCGTGTACGTTACGCAAGCTGTGTCGCGCATCAGCGGCATCGTTGGTCGAGCTTTGCTAGCCGTGCAGGAGACGCGC